TGTGGGCGGGGCCGGAGCTGCGGCAGGCTGGCGTGTGGGCGGGGCGAGAGCTGCGGCCGGTTTTTACAGTTTATGTGCCGCTACCCCGAAAGTAAGACCTAGCGGATCTCTGTAATATAAGACCTACCACCGAACTAGGTCTTATTTTCGGGGTAGGTCTTATATTACAGAAATCCCTGAAGATAGTGCTAGGTCTTATTTTCGCGGTAGGTCTTACTTTCGGGGAAACACGGTACCAGTGTGCATGACCCCTTAGAAATAATATTTATGCTTTAAAAGAGCAATGCCAGACAGTACAACTACTCAGCTATAGGTCCACTGACTTCCTGCTTAGTGCTTCAGACCACCATACAAATATCACCATGTCCATCCCCATCCTTGCTGCCAGTGGTATGAGAACCCCTGCTTGTGAGAGATATTCCCAAACACAACAACTTTTGGCACCTATCTCAATTATGTATCATCAGGAAACTGATGAGGGCCCATGAAACAACATCATTCCTCCCAGTCTCATTCTCCCTACTTCCGTTGTTACTCTCCTTGCATGGCTCAATATCATTTATCATATTGCCTTCTGCTTTCACAGCTTATGCTTATTATTGCCTTCTCCTATTAGTGCACATGCCAGATCTGTGGGGGGAGCAAGTTGGACTTTCAGTTCATCTCCATGGAGCTTGTAGGCACATTTGCACACTGGAGTACAGACACAGGGAGTAAAACTGAATGTAAACACTACCCGGCACAGCGGAAAGTTGGACATTGTACATTGGGACCAAGCTGCATCTGAGAATGCAGGAAGGTCTTGTAGCACTCCTTACTGGATACCCCAACAGCAGGGGAGGGTGCTCGTAGTGACTGCGGATGGAACCAGCACACTTAAAAACCTTTCGGGGTCACCAAAAATTAATTTATTGAGAACAGTTGTCAAATGAAAACAAGCGCTTTCAGGGTCCCTTCGTCAGGCTTACCGTGGACAAAGTGCAAGGATTTTCGGTGTGCTGGTGACATTCTTTCAAACAACTCAAGCTGCATCTAAGGTCTAATATTTGGAATGCTAGCAAAATAATTATTAACTTTATTCCTTGCTCCTGAAGACTTATCTGACAGTTCCAAGATGGACAACCAGTCCCACAAATCCGTGGGATTGTTTGACTTTATTACATCATATATTTACAAACGCAAGGTTCAGCTGTAATTTTTAGAAGGACAAAAAAAAACAACAATATTCACTTCCCCCTTTAGCTGGTATACCAAAAATGAGATGTCAGATGCAGCGCCCACCCCCAACTAGGGTAATACAACCAGAATATGCAGCCTTAGAGTGCTACATAAAAGTAACCACAAAGTGAAGATAAATATGCAGTCTTACAAAGCTAGGCTGGCATTCAGGCAAACATTATCTTCAAAGCCTTTAGATCTGGAAACTTGGTACACTCCTTTGGGAATAGATAAAGCACTCTATTAAGTAGTTTCCAGCGGATTTCCACCACAGCCATCAAAAGCTTTTGCAAAGACTTGGGACTATCTGCAAGGAAACCACTCCAATGTCCAACCAGTGTATTACATCACTGAACCACAAACGCTGCCCAATTACACAGAATGTTCCTGGGCCCCCATGTACGGGAAACAAACACAATTTGCTTCAAGTCTGGCTAGTTTAAAGTATGAATCAATGTGGTGTTCCTGGTCCATTTCCCTTTGGGCTCAAAGAAATTCAATAAGTGGTACTTCTAAATAAAGAAATCCGGATTTCTGCCTCTAAAGCTTCTTAGACAAGAAATGTGTGGTGCCTTAACTCAGGACATTCTGCAGTCTTGACAGTGGATTTGGCTAGTTAGGGTAGAACGCGAGATTCTTTCCCCTTGCCTTTCTTTTGCTGTTGAAATGTATTATAAATGCATTTGGAAGCTCAAGCATAATTGTTTCTGCACTCTTTTAGCAATGAAAGTTCCATTGAACCTTTCCATATGGCCCTGAATCTTACACCTGTCATTATCTAAGACTTCAGTTCTGGACTAAGCAAGGACTCTTCCTAAACGAGAGCCATCACATGGCCGACTCCATAAGATCTTTAAGGAGTTAGGCCAGACCAGTCACAGGTCACCTTACCTGATGAAGTAATGGTAATGTTAAGATGAAACAAGGGGACAACGACTCTGAGTATGTTTTACATGCTGGTTTGTGTGTGTGCCATGATGCCTTTCTACTGTTTGCTGTGAAATGAGGGCGCTCCTGATGTAAAGGTGGACTCTAAGTGAAAGGTGGCACTTTGTGTTCTTGCATGTGGTTCTCCATTAAAATTCATACCAGACCTCTATCTGGGATAAGGGACCCAGCGTAATTTTTTACAATTTTAGACTGGGGCTCCTCAAGATTTTGTTTAACCCTAAAGGGTGCCATGGCTGAAAAAAGGTTGAGAAACGCTGGTCTAATGCCATAAATGACCTGCCCACTCAGAATAATATATCTTAGATGGAGGTGGAGCATTTTGGGGGCTAAGCCAGCTAGTCTTTTTATATGTTTGAGTACAGCAATAACGGGATCCCCATGCTAAAATGTACAACTCTGTTCTCATCTACTTGCATTTCCGTAAATAAAGAACACATGATGTTTCCTGAGAGGACTTTGCACAATGTCAACTACACTAGTTATGAGGAGATTGATCACTTTATTCGCATAAAATCACACGATACAGTACTGTTGGTGTTGTGTCCCACCAGGATTTACATTCCAGCTAGATGCGACAAGATTTGTTTAGAGGCAACCTCTGAATGGTGGACATTCTGCTATCAATAATAAGAGCTGACCTGTTAAGATGATGTTTGGAACACTTCCCCCGTAGGTGGAATACAAGTAATTTGTCCGCTGCTGGAAGGGGTCCTGGAGGTTTCCATGACTCCCCCCTAATCCCATCATGGCTGCCTGGGAGTACTGGAGATTCATATTGGGATCAAAGAAATTGGTGTTGGGTAGAGAACTGCTTGGACTTTCATACATGTCATACTGTTCTTGCTGAAAAGTAAACGAAAATCAAGAAAGCCAATAAACGATGTGCTACATAAAAGCTGAATAAAAACATTTCACACCAACTAGTAGTTTCTTTCTATAAATGACAAGCAAAACATTTAGAGAACAACTCTGATAAAAAAAACATTTACATACTCATTGTTAACATTAACCACAATCCCATTGTGTACAGGTCCTCATACCCCAACAGTGCCTGTATGTGAAAGAATTTAAAAATAATCAGGGCCCACACCTCCATGTCAGAATTTTACTATATTGTGGATAGGTGCCTACAAATCAACCTACTGGAAAGAGTAAATATGAAATATACATATATATTTATAGACAATATTTTTTAAATTATCATATTTGTTATAAAATTGAAAAAGAGGATTATAATTTTTGTTTTAGCCCTGCACAGAAAAATATGAATATTTACCTGGCTAAACAAATTTTGGTTTGTGTGTGAAGTTGGGCTCCTGCTTATGTACAGATTACCTGACCTTCTAAGCAACAGCCTTCTTTAAGGCCCCATTCACACGTAGCGATTTATTGCGCGATTTCCGCCGCGATATCGCGCATTTTTGCAGCGCGATATCGCGAGAAGTCGCCGGCTAATGATATTCAATGGAGCTGTCTTAGCTCCATGTCGCGCGTCGCAAGTCGCTTCTACAGGACCCTTTTTTTGGAGGATTTTGCACAATTTTGCTTTTTTTCTAATGGAGCCCGACGGAGAAGGTCGCGCTACCGTCGCTGGAACGCCGCCCCGAAAGTCGCGCTATCCCGGCCGCTGCAAAAGGTATGTCGCTACGTGTGAATGGGGCCTAAAGGGAATATATAGTGTTTTTTCTAACCTTATATTGCATATGAATAGTCTGTATTTTCATACCTAGCCAACAGGTGGTGGAGTTGGCTCCTTTTCACATTTTTCTGATTCCCTTTACAGAGCTGAGATTTATACAGACGCGCGCACGCAGAGACAGACAGACACACACACACAGTCACACACAGTCAAAAATTAGTCAGAGCAGTGACAAAAGCCCCTCTGACACCCTCCTGTAAATCTGCTTTGTCCAAGGTTTCAATTAGAGACAGGGCACCTGAAAGGATACCTCTGCAGTGCTCTCTCCTAACCCCACACTGCACTGGAATTCTTGTGTGAGCCCAGTATTTGAATGAGAGAGAAAGAAATATAACAGACATAAGATATCAGCTTACAAAAAAAAAAGTCAAATATACTCAAAATCATTACCTTTAAAAGGAAATCTGTACTGAGTACTATTTGGCCTTTTAAAGGAATATCCTAGTTGCATGCTTTCACTAATGTTAATCATTGCTGAATCACATTTCTGGAACAATCATACAGTTCAGGAAATCAAAATGAAGTCAGCACTCCTGGTGGCGTATTACTTGTTGCAGGCCATCAACTCAGAAGTGACGAAGCCACTGGATCAGTACAACCGCCAGGGAGCTTTTTATTTAAAGTGGCCAGCAATGTCAGCCTCCACACTTCAACTGTACAGGTTTCTTTTACATTCAATAAACTATTATCTGTTGCAATGCATGTTTATCATTACACTAACCTGGTGCCATAGGTACTTTCCCTGCCTTGTGGGTTGTTGCTGATCAAAGAAGGAATCTGAAAAGAACCCACTCAAAGAGTTCTATGGAAAGAAAAAAAAAAAAAATCACATGTATGATTAACAGACTACCATCCCACCCAGTAGGCTTGCAATTCTCCATCACTTCATTTTCTGACCAAAATAGAAGTGCGGTTGGTGTAAAGCAAAACAATAATACTGCAATCAGCCATTCACTGAAATGAAACAAATCCGATTATCCTTGGTTTATACAAGTGCCATTAAACACAAACCCCATTTATAGCAGTCATAGACATGGACATAAACATTTTTATACTTTGAAGAAAGTGTGATATTCTTCTTTACATTCAAATTGCCTTACAGTGAACTGCCAAGCCAAGGTAGAAATGGTGACAGAAAGCTGGACAGGAAGACAGTGGTGTCCAGCAAAACATCTTCACATAATTGCAACTTTCTATCAAATTTTCTCAGTATTTGTCTTTTTGTTTTCAATCCTTTCTGACTAAACAATGAATCTTCTCAACCAGGAAAGCATGAAAAGGAAAACACACCAGGGCAAAAGGGAAGCACAACATACAAATCTCAATGGCTAGTTGCAGCAATTTATGTGGATCAGCAAATAGGTAAATGGGAGGAGACAAGAAAATTGCGTGTACCTCAAGTACTATACTCACGTTAGCCAAATTGAGATCCAGAGGAGGGCATGGCACAGGTGAGGGAGGCTGTAAATTTTGTGATTCGTGAGGATCGTGTACTTGTTGTAGTGAATGCTGGGACTGGTCTTGATACAAAGGATAAGGTGGAGGAGGTTCCAGTGGAGGCAAAGAAAGAGGACTCCTGTCCATAGCAATTCCCTAGCAAAATAGAAAAATATGGCTCAAATCAACATGAAAACAGCCGTGAGCATCTAGGAAGAAGGTGGCTCCTTGCAAATATACACACTAGTGCCTCTATAGCACTGCTTTATTTTACAGTATCTATAGGCATAACTATTATTGGTTTATGCCAGTGTCAGGATTTTGTTTTGCGGTCCATGTTCCATTGGGCAGATTTCTTTATACTTCCTGTTCTGTAATCACTGCAGGAAACCTCTGAATAAGGAGGTTAAATCCCCTCTTTAGGACAGTTTACACAAGTAAGCCCCCATTGGAAGATTTTCCATCACTGTTCTGTGACAACTGAAACGTTTTAGATTTCCTATTACTCTGCACTTGAGGAGCAACATCACCGGGACAAATAGCGAGGGTGAATCTCCTCAGTGAGTGTGACAATGTCACCGGGACAAATAGCGAGGGTGAATCTCCTCAGTGAGTGTGACAATGTCACCGGGACAAATAGCGAGGGTGAATCTCCTCAGTGAGTGTGACTAGGTCACCAGGACAAGTAGCGAGGGTGAATCTCCTCAGTGAGTGGTCACCAGGGTAAATAGTGAGGGAGAATCTCCTCAGTGAGTGGTCAGCAGGGTAAATAGGGAGGGAGAATCTCCTCAGTGAGTGGTCACCAGGGTAAATAGGGAGGGTGAATCTCCTCAGTGAGTGGTCAGCAGGGTAAATAGTGAGGGAGAATCTCCTCAGTGAGTGGTCAGCAGGGTAAATAGGGAGGGAGAATCTCCTCAGTGAGTGGTCACCAGGGTAAATAGGGAGGGTGAATCTCCTCAGTGAGTGGTCAGCAGGGTAAATAGGGAGGGAGAATCTCCTCAGTGAGTGGGACAATGTTACCAGGGCAAAGAGTGAGGGTGATTTTCTTTAGCGAGTGCTTCCATGCCACCAGAGCAAATAGTGAGCATATACCCCTTGCAGTGCAGTGGGAGCCCCGCTGCAAGGGTAGTTTCTTTTAATTTCCTTAGAGTTCATCCAATCACACATTTCTACTATTATCCAGCACAGCAGCTGCCAAAACAGTGACGCCCCTCCGTAACCTCAGGATGAGGAATTTATAAGCTTGACACTTTCAGTAAAAACCCCACATAGCAGAAACACAACAGTTTATAACTCCAAACCACCCAAGCACACAATTTCCAGCTAAAATGTTACCTGAGAGCTTGCCATGCTCATGGGGCTGGTGGGTGAAAACTGGCCGCTCATGCACCGGCTTTGGTCGCCACCTGGTGTCAAGGTGAGAGGACTGACAGGAGTGTGCTTGCGTCTTGGCGAACTGCCAAGCGCAGCCGTGGGTAGAGAAGGGTTGCTAAGGGAGGCCAGTCGAAGAGATTGGTGAAGCGATGCATTCGATCGGCCAGATGGAGGACCGTGGTTGTTTACAGAAGAAGCAAGAGAGGTGTTGTTCAGTGTTGCTTGAATCTGTGGATTGCTCCGTGTGTTCTGCAAACCTGTCGAAAGTGTTTAAAACATGTTTGAAACCAATACAACATTTGCTTTTTATCCAGGTAATACTAAAGAGTATACTCTAGTCCCCATAGATCAGAGGTAGGCAAACTTTAGCCTTCCGGCTGAAACTACAAAGCCCATTAGCCATGGCAAGACTCTGACTGACACAAGCATGACGGGATTTGTAGTTTTATTACAGCTGGAGGGCTGAAATTTGGCTACCCCTGCTGTGGATCATACAACCAGAGCCCCTGCACCTGTTACGAGTCAATATATGTCTATCTAAGCGTAATCTTACAGATTATTACTGAAGTTTTATGTACCAATGAAATTCAATAAACCAACCGAGTGATTCATCCTGGGCCCTCTGACTTTTCTACAGACAAACCCCTATTCACTGCCGTATAATGGCAGCATTATCAGGAACTGCTTCATGGAACTTGAACTTGCATTTTTAAGTCAGAGAGTGGGATGTGGGGCACAAAGACCCCATTGAAAGGGAAAAAGATTTCCATGTGCTTTTATTCTTATTTTTTCTGGCTCACCCCTTACCCTAGTTTAGCTCAGCCCTGGGACTTGCCAGTCAGGCTCCATGTGACACATGCACTGTATTTGATTTCACGTACCTGGAGTGAGGAGTGGCTCTGTTTCCTATGAACATGCACTAAAGCAAAGCAGATTTTTTAATATAGTGCACTTAAAAGGTAACTCCGCTGAATGAGAATTGGTGAGACAGAGTGTGGACAGCACAGTGCGTCACTCTCCCTTTCCTAGTAACCATCTGCTCAGCCTGTAGCTGGTATTCAAACAATAAAAGTCAAAGGTAGATCTCAGCCAGCCAGCCAGAGGAGCAGGTCAAAAGTCCCAGAGATTAAATAAGGGTCTGTCCACACTGGGTCCGTGCGTTAGTGCATGCACTTTTTGTTTAATCCTATTGCAGTGCACGTTATTGCAGTACTGTAAGTCGCGGCACGATCGATCGCATTGCGAGCACGAGATGTGTTTGGTGTGCCATTCAAATGAATGGCAACGCAATGCGTCTCCCATACTGTTAAACGGTAGGTTGATCAGGCCCTTTTACTGTTGGATTGCAGAAATGGGGCAAAGCAGTAACTGTTATTACATACGCTAAAAAAGCAAGTACTGCAAAGTGGAGTCTTCATGTATTCACTGGCTTGACCCTTTCGCTGCCAGAGCCACATGTACATGTTAAAAAGCACATTTTAGGCCTTAGGCCTTAGGCCTCATTCACACAGTGTAAACTCAGGCCGCACACATCCATGCGGCGTGCTCGCCTGTATCGGGCCGTTCCCGGGAGGGACGCGACAGTACGCACACCTGAACTGCAAATCCGTGCGGGTCCGGGTGTCCATACTCGGAAGCAGACGGAATGAATCCTGCCTGCATCCAAGCGCGAACTCCTGGACCCACACGGGTCCAATTCGGGTGTGTGCATGACAGTGTACGGCCGCGTTCTCCCAAAGGGAAGAAAAGGCTGCTGCGTGCAATCACGCAACACCTGTCCCTCCCGGGAACGGCCCGAAACAGGCGTGCACACCGCACGGCCCGAGTTTACGCTGTGTGAATGAGACCATAAGATTACTGACCCCTTCAAATTATTTATTTTCTGAAAGCAACGACCCTGTAGAAAAAATGGTGGCAGTTGCTATTTATGAAGTCACACAATATTAGCGCATTTATCAAACCCAATTTTTCCGTAAAAACGACTTTAAATTAATTTTAGTGCACATAAACACAATAGAATGGCAAAATATAAAAGAGGTGGCTGCGTAGACAGATACCAAAACATGTCAAGCTTCAAAATTGCAGGCAGTCATGAAATGTCAAAGACGATTAAATATGTGTTTGTGTTCATAAATTGTGTACCTGGGAAGCTTTGGCAAGCAAAAAAAAAAAAGTTTCAGTTTTTTAATTTTATTAATTTTGTGCTTGTTCTTTTTATTTAATTTTCGGTTTATATTCACGTTTGATCAGTTTTATTCCTGGCCAGGGGATGACAGGTCTGAAACCTAAAGTGATGACATCCTTGTAATTTCTGCCTTGTTTCAGCAAAAGGACGATCATCAGACAGATTCACGGTTTGGCTTCTGCCCCACCTGCAGACACCCGTCATGCTGGTCCCAGAAGCACAGGAGGGGCAGCGAAGCCCAGAATACATGGCGGGGCAGCGAAAAGGTTTGATAAGACCTGCAACCACAGTAAGGAGGCAGAAATACCACAAAACCTCACAATATTCTTAAATATTATCAAGTTACTGGCTCACTAAGGTTAACAATTAGAGCTTCTCCCATCCATGACTACCTTCAGGCAGTACTGTTACCATGAATGTTTGGCAGAACTTGGCCCAAGTTGCCAACTTTGCCTATCACAGTAGCAAACAAAATGATGACTTCAGGATACAGATCATCTTTTTCCATTGATGTCTGTGACCCGATTGGGGGATTTCCAATAATGTAAAAAGCATATCATTTTTTTAGCAGAATTGCAATGCGCTTAAACACGGTTAGGCCAACTCTCCACTCCAGCTATAGAAAAACATTAAATCCCATCATGCCTCTGCTTTTGGTAGTCCTGCCCATGGCTGTCAGTCTTGCAATGCCCTCTCTGGCAGTGTCCCTGTTAAGCAGATTCACGTCATTTCCTGTGTGGTCACTTGGACAGAAAGTGAGGGAAATTTATAAGGACAGGAATATAATCCAGACAGGTGTTCTGTTTTCTATAGAAAACCAATAATAAAAACTAAAATGTGTGGGACTTGGTTTTTATCTGTAGAAAGTCTTTTTTTTTTTCTTCTGAACTGTTATATTAATTTGCAAAGTATAATTGTATCACCCCCTCCGCTCTCCTAATTAGATATCTCACTAAAAATCACAGTCCTCACCATCCTAAAGCTAGCAGCATTTTACAGAGCGATAACGTGTGATAATCCTTAATTGACTTTTACTTTCAAATAAAAAAATCAGCAAAATACAGTGAATTCATGAAAGCCGAACGGAAGTCACAGAAATGGATATTCAGTCAGACAGATCCTGTGCTAAAAACCTTCATTTTTACACTTGCCCCATCTCATGTCTGATCACCACTGTGTAGTCCAATATGTATCACGCTTACCCAATGCATGCTGGGGGCGATTGAAAAAAGGCATTTGCGGCACATTTCTGGCGGTGTATGTAGTTGGAAATGTTTTAAACCAAATTCATGAAAACCCTGTGAAAATGTAATTGCTCAGATAGAACTTCAACTTACCCGGAGAGTTACTGATGCCCAGATGAGTCATAGCAGCAGGCAGCCCACCCGTGCTGTTTTCTGTGCCCATGCCTGCATACGCCGTGTCATCTGGGTCCAGGGGAGTGGGCAATGGAGGGGGGAAATGGAGGTTTGTAAGGTCTGGCAGTGAACCACCTGTGTTTAGATTCCCCTGGAAATGTGAGAGGCCTAAGTTCTGATCAGAAGATGGATAAACTCTGTAGATGGGGGAAAAAAAAGAGAGAGTAAAACACAAATGCTCAGTTCAACTTGTCACACTAGCTTTTGCAATACTGAAAAAAGGTTGAAGTAGGCAAGCTGCTTAAACTCGATGTTACCCATATTAATAAAATGACTGAATAATGCTAACTGCACACCCAACAGAAGCTAAAACAGTCACTGCAATCTACACCATACTGCTATTTCTCACTCATTACTCCTATCAGAGAAACCATATTCTATTTATACTAAAACACCACAGGAGGAAGAGGTACTACAGATCATCAGGGACAAGGGTAGATGATAAAGCTTTGGATGGGTGCCTGACACCTGCAACATAAAACAAATTGGCCATATTTCTGCTACGTGCAGTTGTCCATAGAAATCAATTACAGGGTGCAGCTGTATATGGGTATACGCCAGTACTTGCATAAACATTCATATGGAGGCATAACCCTGAAAGTAGGCAGTCTGCGATCAGGTATGTCTGCACATGTTGTATACTAACAGCCATTAATTTCTATGGTTAGCTGTACACAGCACACGTGGCTTCTGGGCAGGAAAATAAGCTTGATTTACATGTTGTACAGCTACAGGTGCCTGTGTCCATGGAACCTTATAGATATTATACCTCCAGACACAGACCTGTAGGTCTTTTTCACACAAAAAAAAAAAAAGGAAACCAGAGACAGAAAGAAGCCGCATAAGGCCATAAACTTTGGAAAATCCTTCTGACCCTTTGTGACAATTGAAATAAACTGCTCGCAGGTAGGCATTTATGGCAGTATAAACTCTGTATGTCTATTCTGCCCTAAAATCCTTTCCTCTGTCAGCACTTCACTAATTGTATAACGGCAGCAGCGCACACACAGCCCAGTGTACAGAGATGGCATCTGCAAGATGGAAATGCCGGGACAAAGTAACTCTTGTGAGCATGTGTGGGAGTTACATCATCCTGAGCCCAAAAGCAGATGGGAAGAAGATGGAACCTGTTCAATGAAGAACAGGTGCCACTTTGCTGGAGGACAGCGGAAGGACAAGTGTGCCATACTATGATGATCTTACTTGCACATTATAACAAAAGTTCCAGGGAGGCCAAAACTATTTAGTTCCACTTTAATCAGTGCTGCAGAAAGAACGATAATCTTTCATTGCTATACAGTGAATTTATAAGGTTTGCCTTTACAGCTCATATCCCTTTATCTGCTCATCCCTTCTTCCTTCGTGTAAATGTATCCCTGTCATGTGGGGAGTATGGAGGCTGCCATTGCTGACATTTAACCCTTTTAGAAACACTGACCTATAATAGTAATACTAGAAATGGGGAATTTAGCATTTTAAAAATTAGCAGCTCACCAATTTCTTCTATAACAGGCATACATCATACATTCCACACAATTCTCATACCCGTATACATGTACAGTAGTGAGCAAAGAGAAGACATCCTAGAAGCTAAAAAGGAGAGACTTTGGTACATACTTGATTCCAGGAACTTCACATGACCGGGGACGAGATGCCATAGACTGGACCTATACAGAACACACAACAGAAATGAATTCAGCTTACAGGCAGCACCAGCATAGTTTTAAAATTGATAAACTATTAAAGAGGACCTATCGTTGAATTTTTAAGGTGAGTTAACAGACTTGTTCTGATGGAGAACATTAACAGAAAGGCATAATATTTCTTCACGATCTCTACAGTGCTGACTACGTGATCAAAATACTAGGAATGGACCGTCCTAGACGTTTCTTACATCTAAAGCATAAGGGATAGCCACTAATGAAAACGTTTAAAGGAGAACTATGGGGTCAGTGTTTTTCCCCATAGTTCTCCTTAGGGTAACGGGAGGACACAAACTAGCGTCCTCCCGTTACCCTAAGCTCAGTATACCGCGAGCTACAGCTCGCTGTATACTGAGACGCCGCACCTGGAGCGGATCCCGACGTAGATGACGGGATCCGCCCAGCTGCGTGAGTGACAGCTGGCTCTGCCTATCTAGAGGCAGAGCCAGCTGTACCCGCCCCCTCCCCCGTCCGTTCCGCCAGTCAGCGCTGGCAGATCGGAGCGGGGAGAAGGGAATCCAGCCCCTCCCCCTGTCACGGCAGAGAGCCGTGACAGGATCGAGAGGTGAGGGAACCCGGTATGTGTTCCCTCACCTCCCGATCTACTGAGCCGACCTGTGACAGTCTCATTGTCACAGGTCGGCTTAGAACTATGAGGTGAGTGGAAATCACTCATCTCATAGTTCTCCTTTAAAGGAAAAACATACAAAAAAAAAGTATGTAAGTAGTTAGCTTCTCTATTGCCTGTGCCACCAAAAGCTGCTCCAATGCCGAGAAATCTTCTATTAAAGTGGAAGTGTTGATCTCCTGGGTCCCATGCAGCTCACACTGGTTTCCTCTTTGGCTCCCACCTATTACAGGATGCCGTGGAGGTCAGAAAGTAAATCCAGTGGGGGCTGGAGATGAACACTCCTGGAAGGGTTGGCTTCCCTTTGGGCGTCAGCAGTAGATATTTCAGCATTGGAGTGGTGTTCGGTGGCAAGAAAAACAGGAAAGGTTGAAAATTTACAGGTAAGCCTCGGCTTAAAAAAATAATAAAAAAGTTTATAAGCGACAGGCTCACTTCAAAAGTTTTATACAGTATGTTGGTGGCAGGTGGTATAAGATCAACACATCTGTTTAGGAATGGTTGTAGGTTAGTATTTACAGACTATTTCAACCATGCCTCTATTTTTTAGAGCAACATGGCGGGTTTTACAACTTTACCCCATCAAAATTTGACAAGTCACACTGTCAACCACGTAAATCATGCAATTAACACCTCTTTTAATGTTAGACTTTGAGCAATCAGCATCTGCCTCGACCCATTTCATGAGACCAAGCAGATTGGATCAAGGTGACTGAGTTGTCCATGTGGGTATACAAACTAGGACACACATTTGAAATGAAGAAGCCACCTGCATGAGTGTTGAAACTACTCCAGTTGAATATGACAAACTGCTACCAGCTATACAATGACCTGGAGATATAAGAACCAAACAGATTGAGACTAGAGCATTAATGTAAGATAAAACTGCACCTCTCGGGCTTCCCATAGCTGTTTCGGAAGTGGCTTTGAAATGTTAAGCATATTCTCTTCCGCCAAAGCACTTGGATATGAGAAAGCTAAAATAGAAGAAACATTTTTACACACAACAGTTCTCACAAACAAATTCATCCTGTAATGTAGATATACTATTTTACATAGGAGAGAGAGAGAGCGGGCGAGAGGGCAAGAGAGAGCGAGCGAAAGAGCATGAAAGAGCGAAGGAGAGCGAGCGAAAGAGCATGAAAGAGCGAGGGTGAGCGAGCGAAAGAGCATGAAAGAGCGAGGGAGAGCGAGCGAAAGAGCATGAAAGAGCGAGGGATAGAGCATGAAAGAGCGAGGGATAGAGCATGAAAGAGCGAGCGATAGAGCATGAAAGAGCGAGCGATAGAGCATGAAAGAGCGAGCGATAGAGCATGAAAGAGCGAGCGATAGAGCATGAAAGAGCGAGCGATAGAGCATGAAAGAGCGAGCGATAGAGCGAGCGAAAGAGCATGAAAGAGCGAGCGCGAAAGAGCGAAAGATCGAGAGAGAGCGAACGTGCGAGCGAACGTGCGAGAAAGAAAACGGAAAAGAGAGCAAGAAAGAGTGAGACAATCCCTTTGGTCACGGAAACAACTGTTCAGTTCAATAACATTTTTATAGATTTCTTTTTTCTGGTTTCTTCCTTTTTCTTTTCTCTCCACTTTCTAGTATGAAATATGTTTTCTATTTGTATATGTTCTGGCTCCTGGTACAATAAATGTGTGACCTTGCTTAAACACCTAGATATACATCTCATTACAAGAGTGTTGTTGCTTTTCATTTTTTTGTAACGTTATTACATTGTGCAGGACAAAGTATGTTAGAATTTCTGCCAGGCAGCAACATTTCTATTCATTATGTATCCTCCTCATGGTGTTATTGAACACACAATGTTTCTGTCTTCCATCAACCATTGAATGACATGACATACTAAACATGATTTGCAGTTTACTATATGGAATTCAAATTTAAAGTGTATTCCAGACAAATTGGGATAACACCTACTTTATATTTGTAACATTTTCCCATTCACATAGCATACCAACAAAAAAATTAAAAGAATTACAGCTTAACTTTTTTAGATGCTTTTTGTGCCACCTCCAGGACCAAGATCCTGCTCAGTTCTCACTTATCTGGGGAGTTGGGGGGAATTTTGTTTGGAATAACCCGTCTGTACTGTTGTAAACTAGATAAGCAGGAATGTCTTTCCTAACAAGGGGTTAAAGACTTGAAGACACTGGGGGGAATGTATCAAACCTGGAGCAGCTGTGCATGGCCACCAATCAGTTTGTTCAGTTATGATTTCAAAATGAAAGAGAAGCGGATTGGTGGCCATACACAGTTGCTCCAGTTATATCTAGCAGTAGATATAAGCAAAAAAACCAGCAGGGTTTAGAACCCCTTTAAGGGTCTACACCACCAGCTTGCCTCAACTGCATAGCTGTTGGTCTGTGTGTACCTGAACAATGCCAATGTGCTCAAATCGAGCCGCATCACAACGATTTGTAGAACTTTATCAAAATGTCACAAGTGATATTTCATGAAGTTCTATGGGCTCACCAAGGTGCACCAAAACTGCATGTCATACATTCGTTAAGCACACACCACCAAAACATGGTGGTGTGAACCGAGCCCATTCCTGGCAATGCATTTTGCCTTGTCTTGCGGCTACACTGGAATAAACGTCCAGTGCACCCCGCACACAGATACACTACATTCCTTGTGAACATGTGTATGGTTCCGATAAATCCATAAAAATGTATTGACTTCCCACTAAGGCAGGGGTCTCAAACCTCCGGCCTTCCAGCTTTGGTGAAATTACATATCCCATGATGCATCTCTCTTCGGGAGTCATGTCTGAGAATCTTGCAATGCCTCATGGGATTTGTAGTTCCACCACAGCTGGAGGGCCAGAGATTTGAAACCCCTGCACTAAGGAGTCCATTTAAAAAAAAAAAAGTGCCTATTCCGCCAGAAAAACTTCATATACATACATACATACATACTGTACAAGGCAACCCACGGTTGTGAGAATGGGGCAAAAAATGTTTGTTCAACAGTTTAATTCATAATGAACAAAGTGAATCTGAAGAAAACCGCACCATGGCCAGTAGATGGAGTGGAGGATAAATATATATATTAGTAATGATATTCAATGTTTGAATTCTAGAGACATTGAGCATATCATTATAGCCATTGCTATGATGGTCATGGCAATGATTGATCTGTTCATTCTCTCTAATTGCTCCACTGTATCTCGTTACTAACGCATACTTATTTCATACGCTCCTCAGCTCCATCTAGTGGCCATAATGTGTTTTTTTTTTTACGATTCACTTTTTGTTGTTATCAATTAACCCCTTCGTGACGGGAGACATACACTGTACGTCCAGCCACAAAGGGACCAAATGACTCTCACGTACACTGTACGTGACAAGTTATTTGCTGCTTTAGAGGGCTTGTAACCGCTGAGAATCAGCTTTTACCATTCATTAATGGATGCCAATACTACAGAGGCATTCATTAATGAAAGGGTTAACCTTTTTCAGACACCCGATACCTTAATATCGGGTGTCTGAGAGTCACAGCATTCTGACAGCTCGTATAGATCGTGAGAGATATCTCTCTCAAGCTATACTGGCTTTTTTTCTTTCTTTCACAAATAGATACATAATGTATCTATTCCTGAAAGAGGAATGTTTCAGTTTGCTGATCGTTGTTGCAACAATCAGAAAACCTTTAGGCCCCGTTCACATGTAGCGACTTATCGCGCGATTTCCACCGCGATATCGCGCATTTTTGCAGCGCGATATCACGAGAAGTCGCCGGCTAATGATAGTCAATGGAGCTGTCTTAGCTCCATGTCACTCGACGCGGTCGCAAGTCGCTTCTAGCGGACCCTTTTTTCAGCGGATTTTGCTTTTTTTTTTTATGGAGCCCGACGGAGAAGGTCGCGCTACTGTCGCTGGAACGTCGCCCCGAAAGTCGCGCTATCCCGGCCGCTGCAAAGGTATATCGCTACATGTGAATGGGGCCTAAGTGACAGCTGAATCCTGAACTGCTGCAGGATCAGTATCACTAACTTATTATCGGCTGTTCTGAAGTTTGAAGCAGCCTGATAATAACCAAAAATGTATTCATTTATCAAGCAGTAACAGTGAAAATAATTCACAATGACTGCTTGATATAAATAAATAAAATAAAAATTTTAAGTTTAAAAAAAAGTTAAAAGTGTAAAAAAATAAATTGTGAAAAGTGTAAAAAAAAAAAATGTGTAAAAAAAATAAAATAAAGGACAAATAAATGAATGTATTTATTGCATTTTTTTTTAGCTGTGCTGGTTTTGTAAAAAAAAAATACTACAAATCAAAACTGGGAAAAAAGTGTATTTTTTACGTTTTTTTCCTCTTTTTTTAATATTTTATTTGTCCTAAGTGAGGCGTTAGGTACACATATGTGATATAAATATGTAGCCCTATCTGTTCTCTAAAAAACAATATATAGTATGTGTGGGTACACTTTGTAAGAAAGTATATTACTGACGTGGAAGAATCACACAGCAAAAATGTCAAAAGTGTGTCAGTCATTTACGAACAGAAACTAAAAACAAGCTCAGTCACGAAGGGGTTAATCATTGGGAGAGAAAATAGCCCAAGAACATTTGTTTTTGCCCCATTCTCACAAAAACTGGTTAACTCGTACAGAACAAATATACCTGCAGTTTTGCTGGACGAATAAGCAACATAGAAATTATGTGCCGGCATTATAGATGCCTGATTGTAAACATCATAACTGCCATCTGATAAGGTTAAAAAACAAGACAAGGCCCCATATCTTTACCTTCTCCGAAGCTGTTCATTTCCCCGTCCTGTAAACTTGCTGCAAAAAAAAATAGATGTGTAAAAAAATACAATTTGCTTAAACAAAAAATATGAGAGAGTAAATCACTTAATTCTTCCATCCTAGCTAAATAATATGGCTGGAGGAATCTTTCCTGCTGGCTATGGAGTTATGACAGCCAGTGCCCGCGGCTGTCAAAAAAAACAAAAGCATGACTGTTGCTGTTGGCCGAGTGATACCCAAAAAAGAGATTTTGTTAATTGCTAAGGTACTTAAATTAATTTGTAAGATTTAACTCCTGAGTTTAGTGTCACTTTAAGGGTTGTACGTGACAGCAAGTGAGGTGAATCTCTCCAGTGGGGAAACAGACTGCATTTAAAGCACTTTTGTTGACAGAATAGGAAAAGGCTAGAACCTTTGTATGGTTTCCAGCACTGTCTGCATCCTTGTTGAGATTTCTTTACTTCCTGCTGTATCACCAGGACAGGAAGTAGCGGGCAATCTCATCAGCAGACACAGAGATAGCAATCAATAAAAATCTGACATAGGTTGTACAATGTTAAAACAAAAGTCTGGTGTTCCACTTTAAATTCTTAGCAACCTGGCAGTGGAGGAAGCAAGTGACACAAGTGAATATACTCTGAGGGACAATATAGCTACACAAGCACAATAAACCACTAGGGAGTATGGGAACTGTGTACCGGAAGCAGCAGCAGCAACTACTGTAGGCTCTAGGGGCTGCTTTACACAACACAATATCTTAATTAGAAAAGAAAGAACATAGAGACACATAGGTGGATTGTGTGTGTTAGACCAGGCACAATCTTTCTCATAATGCTTTACAAGACAAGAAACACAGCATCTATGCAGACATAAAACTACCTATCACAACGTCCCATACAAACCAAACCATGATGAAGTTATCATACGAATATGAAAGGCACATAAAATACAGCTGACCAATGTTACTGTACATGTATTCTGTGTTTGTTTTCAGCCCACATTTTACATCTTACTTTTATCTGGGGGTTTAATATATAGGCAGACACCTTCAATACCATATGTACACACACACACACAGACACTATATTGCCAAAACTATTGTGACACCCCTCCAAATCATTGGATTCAGGTGTTCCAATCACCTCCATGGCCACAGCTGTATAAAATCAAGCACCTAGGCATGCAGACGCTTCTACAAACATTTGTGAAAGAATGGGTCGCTCTCAGCTTAGTGACTACAAGCGTGGTACCGTGATAGGTTGCCACCTGTGCAATAAGCCCATCCATGAAATTACATTGCTACTAAATATTCCACTGTAAACTGTTAGTAGTATTATAATAAAGTGGAAGCAACTGGGAACAACAGCAACTCGGCCACGAAGTGGTAGGCTACGTAAAATGACAGAGCGGGGTCAGTGCATGCTGAAGCGCACAGTGCGCAGAAGTCGCCAACTGTCTGCAGAGTCAATAGCTACAGACCTCCAAACTTTGTGTGGCCTTCAGATTAGATAAAGTTAAGTGAAAAAAGTAAAAAATATCATGGCCCACTTGCCAATGATAACCAGTTGATTGGTAGGCTCTTTCCTTACAGAGACCCAGGCTCCCCTGCATAGAAGGAGGAGGACAGGAGCCTGCCAATCAGCTTGTTACGATTCCCTGGGTGATATTTGGGGGCGTACAGGGACAATGAGGGTATGCTAGGACTTGTAGTTCAATTACGATATGTCCTAGCATGCTCTCATTGTACCTGTACACCCTCACATATCACCGGGCGTGCAAAATTTTGTTCTGCCCCGGACGCCCGTTACTCTGGTTACGCCACTGCAACCCAATATTGAACCCTACAGACTAAGACTATATAGACATGGTACATGAGATTGTCCTCCATCTACGCTAAACTGTGTGGATGGAAGAATTTCCCACTGGACCAAGATTCAGTATCTTGCTAGTCGGCCCCGCTGGCTTTCAAAACACCTGAACAATCTGATTGGATGCAGGCATTGTTCAGGTGTTTTGAGAGCCAGCAGGGCCGACTAGCAAGATACTGAAGCTTGGCCCAGTGGGAGATTGCTCCATCCACACAGTTTAGCGTAGATGGAGGAATCGGTTGCACTTTTTCCATCTGACCATAGAAAACTTGCAGAAAATCTATAGGTGTATGGCCAGCTTAAGGCTACATTCATGTGGGGCATTCTGGGATTCCTGCAGAAAGAACCCATGGTTTCTTGGTGCAGGAATTCCAGGTGCCCCTATTCAGATGTGGCTGCTTTACCCATTCAAATTAATGACAGGGTAACAGCGGCTGAATCTGTCACCAAGAGCATCCCAATGTAAATTTGCATCGATCCGGCATCCAGTCTCAATCATCTATCCCGAACAACATGTAATCATACCATGTAAAATTACATGCAGACTGCTGACAAATGCAGCTGCTGTCACCCAGTCATTAACTTGAATGGGTGTAGCTTTAGTTCTGCATTCTGCAAGAAACAGGAAGGGAATGAAACGGACCCACACCTTCACTGTAATGCCTAGTGGTTGTACAGAATGTCCTCCAGAAAAACATCACCAAACACAATCTGTTCCCACAAGACTGCAACATAATCAAATCATGTTCTGTGAGTTATTTCAAAGTCTTTGCCCAACTTCTTGTCACAGATAAACTACTCGCCGGCTGACCCCAAAGATTGACGTTTAAAGCAGCCTTATTTCTTTATCGTACCATCAAAGCCATCTGACATAGATCTGTGTATGGGTTATGTGTAGAGGAATCAATGATCGGGGTTCAATATCACTGGAAACACAAAAGGGCAGCTAGTTTTTTATGCTGACTGATGCAAGTGAGAAGTGACAGACTACACAGGAACACGGCTTTTATTTGAACTGAAGCAATGCTTTGAAGCCAACTGATGCTCCTGTCTGAAAGATGGCGTGTCACATGTTGAAACCTCTCTCTGCCCGAGCCGTTTCTGCATTTCAACTGCACCATTAAAACCACCCACTTTTTTTTTTTATGTCTCACAATATTAGCTCAACGGTTTATTAAATTTCCAGTAGAACAATATAAGCTCCAATAAATCTTACTGCACACAAACAAAATATAATTACCCAAATTAGTAAATATTAAAAAAAATTAACCCCTTACAATGAAAATCTACAGATTTGTTTTGCCCCCAGGGGTTAATTTTTTAAAATGTAACCCGCTCATGATGGCGATGTTTAAAGTATGTCACTGTCACCAAGTGCGACAGTGACATTGTATGCCAGATGACCACTAGCTTTTAGAGAATTTTTTTTTTAAATGTTAGCTTTTAGTTTTAGGCTGAGAAGTACAGAAAAATGTATCAAATCCTAGAGATATGAGGCGTTTCCAAATAAAAGGACAAATAAAAGAATTAATTTTTATGTTTTTTTTTAGCTGTGCTATTTTTCAAAAAAAAAAAAAGTAAAAACTGGGAAAGTGTTTTATTTACGTTATTTCCCCTTTTTTTCGTCCTAAGAGGCACACATATGTGATATAATCGTATCGTATAGGAAGGAGAGAAACTGTCACAGGAGGGCGAGCGGTGCTGGGGAGCAGAGCGATCTGAGGGGCCGGCGTCTCTCCTCCAAAACCGCTCAGCCTCCTAAGGCCCCATTCACACTGAGCGATTTATGGAGCGATTTTTGCCGCGATATCGCTCATATTTCCGCGCGATATCGCTCTATGTAGCTTCTCCAATACATTTCAATGGAGCTGTTCACATCTCGTCGCTCAATATCGCTTGTAGCTCGTCGCTGATAGCTTGTCGCTCCTACATGAGCGACAAGCTCCTGATTGCATACAGCCCAATAGGAAAAAGTTGCGCGACACGTCGCTCAATATCGCTCAAAGTCGCGCGATTTTCATGTCGCTCAGTGTGAATGGGGCTTTAGACAGATCAGGAGAAAGGTGTGTAGGCAGTGACAGCTGTGAGCACTGTCACAGGAAGCTGAGCAAGCAGTGTGGGGAGCTCGATCTCCTCTGACAGCTGACTCCTCCCCCGCACCGCCGGCCCGGCCTCCTGCGACAGCTGTCTCCACCCGTACACTGCCACTTCCCGGATTGGTCACAGGAGGCTGAGCTCTCCTCCGCGGGGGAGGAACCAGCTGTCCAAGGAGACCGAGCTCTCCTTCCCGTACAGCTTGTTCAGCCTCCTGTGACAATCGATCCAGGGTGGAGAGTGGGTACAAACACTCAGAGATCAGTGATAGCTGAGTGTTTGTAAATAATTGAGGACATAGTCTGTTTATTGTGTCCCCAATTATGAATGATTTACTGCACTTCCTGTTCATTCATAATTGTAATTATAGTAAACATACTCTCTCTATTCCTGTACATTTATAACAGGGGCTGCAGAAAAAGATTGAGACTTTGTGTCCTCAATGTCTTTTTCTATTCTAAAAGGGAAATATCAGGGGGCTGTTAGAAGTTTTGTTTTTGGTTCTGTAAATATAATTTCGGTGCACCTCTAATATATATACACAAATTATATATATTTACACACACACACACACACACACTATATTGCCAAAAGTATTGGGACGCTTGCCTTTACACGCACATGAACTTTAATGGCATCCTAGTCTTAGGGTTCAATATTCCGTCCGCAATGTTGTGCACAGTGGACACAGGAACATTAAGATCTCTGGAGATGGACTTGTAACCTGGAGACTGTCCATGCTTTTCCACAGAAACTTGGAATGCAATTATTTCTTGCAATTTGGATAAGGTATATGTGTTTATTGATTCTGCGCTGGATGGGTGAAACAAAACTGCTCTGATTTGGATAATTTGGATAAGGTGCCAATAATTTTGTCCAGTCCGTTTTTGGAGTTTTGCGTGGAATGTGTCAGATTTGGCTTTTTTGTCTCATACCAATACAAACAAAACAAATAAACATGAGAATGCCGAAACATTAGTAATTGCAACAATTTTCTGACAAATACAGGGGTGCAAATATTTTTGACCATGACTCATACGTAGACAGACAGACATATATACAGCCCCGGGAGTC